CTCTCTCTCTCTCTCTCTCTCTCTCTCTCTCTCTCTCTCTCTCTCTCTCTCTCTCTCTCTCTCTCTCTCTCTCTCTCTCTCTCTCTCTGTAGCCCTTGGGTTACTCCACAACACTTGCCCTTTCCAGACTCAAACCCTCTCCCTCCCCACTGATTGCCATCTATCTCCCTCCTTGCTCTGACCTCCTCGTTCCTCATCCATGGACCAAAAAAAAAAAAAAAACTGAAGCCACCAACTGGCCTAGCTCAGTTGACACACCCATATAAACTAACAAAAAATGCATACCTGCGTTTGACGCCCCAACTCCAATTTTACCTGGAGTGGCTTTGCTCCACCACCCAACATCGTAAATGCATCTGGAGGGGGAAATGCCCCCGAAACATTGAAAACCTTCGATCAGTTGGGAAGTATGTGGTGGATAAAACCACCTATTTTCAGACAACTTGTCATCCCATTTCTAACAAAATCCAAGGGTCATTTTAACCAAACTTGCCACCAAGTCATAGAGTAGAGACCATAGTTACTAACTGCAAAAAAAAAACCGAATTTATTTTTTTTTTAAGCCTATAAAACAGCAAGGCAAAAGTGCACTTTCACGCAAATTCCGCCTTTTGCATGAAAGTTTACTTTTGCCTTGCTGTTTTATAGGTAAAAAAAAAAAAAAAAAAATCGATTTTTTTTTTCCTGCAGGGTGTTGACCACCTGCCAACCCATAGGTGCCGACAGGTGGACCAGTCGGCTGGTCGGCCCCCTACCAATTTGGGGGGGGCGACCATCTGCGTGACAACACTGATCCACCGAGGGAAAGTTCCTCCATTTTATGGCAACAAAGTAGAAAACCTTTCTCGCATTGGCCCTGGGCACAAATTCCGAAACACAGTGTGCTAGAAGCATCGTGCACATGCGTGGAACCTCACTTCGCAGACTACATTTGCCAAGGTAATAGGAGGAGGAGGAGGAGGAGAAGAAGAAGAAGAAGAAGAAGAAGAAGAAGAAGAAGAAGAAGAAGAAGAAGAAGAAGAAGGAGCAGAAGAAGAAGAAGAAGAAGAAGAAGAAGAAGAAGAAGAAGAAGAAGAAGAAGAAGAAGAAGAAGGACAAGGAGCAGCAGCAGCAGCAGAAGAAGAAGAAGAAGAAGAAGAAGAAGAAGAAGAAGAAGAAGAAGGGAGATCCTGGAGGAGGAGGAGGAGGAGGTTGTGATGGAAGGTATGGCAAGAGATAATGCGCTTAGATGCACAAAGTGGTAAGAGGTGGACATCAAGCAGGGATTTCACAAGGTGCCCGTGTGTAGAAGACGATAAGGTGGACAAGAATACATACCTGAGTGTAACCCGTCAAAAGAGGGCCGGATAAGATCATACATCCGATTGACTTCGCAACATCTTCAGGTGTCCACTCAAAATGACCTGCAAACCGCATCCAGAAGTCAAACCATAGGCCTCTCTCTCTCTCTCTCTCTCTCTCTCTCTCTCTCTCTCTCTCTCTCTCTCTCTCTCT